GTTAGGATAGAGTGCTTCACAATGGTGAACACTCATATATCATTAGACATTTATATTTCAACTCTTGGGGTGTGCGATAGACTTACCTCCACGTGGCAAAAAAAGTCTATTAACTGGCAGTTGACTTCTCACTCAAACTACCATCACCTCACTCTATGCCATATTTGACTACTTTCACAGTACTCACCACACCTTTTTTCTACCTTTGTGTCTGTATCTTCTACATCTTTGAAACACTCTTCTGTTCCCTCCCCCCTCTCGATTTTTTTCAATTTGATGTTCCTTCTCCTCTCTGTGAAGCCTGAAGTCAACTAAAGGGCTAATGATAACCATCAAGACGCCTGCCATTTGATATGAATATAAATAAATATTTCGACTCAAGTCACGAATTTTATACAAAAATTGTACTTTGGATAGCAAAGCAAAAATTATACTTGGTAGTGGTGTGCCAGGTTTATTGGAAATATCTTCATAAGAAAGCTTGTTGAGAAAATAGCGGAAGTTGTGGTAATTACTTCCTTCATAAAAATTTATGAATTGACAAGTTTGTTACTTTGATCGTTATCATTAAGCCAAATTTGATTTAATTTATGGCTCCGTTATAGGAAATCGCACAATATACTCCCATCATTCTAACAAAAAATACAAATCTTCAACCAGTCGCATTGTCCTTTAAACGACAAAGAGGAGGATGGTGAAATAGAAGTCGGGACCGGAAATTGGATACGATTGTTCACTTCATCTTATGGATTATCAAATTTTTGAATTTTAAGATTTGTCTCTTAAATTCTTTTATTCCAAAGTTATTTGCCAATGAATATCAAAATAGAGTCACTTTCATTGATTTTTAAACCCTTCTGTCGTGATTTACTAACATGGTACGTCATTTTGTCTGGGTGAAAACTTATTCATTTTTTATCTTTCTTAAAGACTATTCAAACTGTTTAAAGAAAGGTGAACCATTGCATTTTTCTCAACTTTCAATTGTAAAAGCAACTGAAAGTGGAAATTTCTTATTTCATTTGCTTGTTTAGTTTCTCGACTAAATGAAAGCACACAAGGTAGTGCTTAATTATTTGTCTCTGCATTTTCCATTTTTCCTAATTTATGAGTGCGTGAGCCTTAGCAGAAATCACTTAATTAATTCAACCATTAATATTAATTAATTACTCAGACTTCTACCCCGGGTGTTTCAACATTGTCAAAATTGGACAAACTTGACTCTGCTATCAGTTGACTCATATCCCTTTTCATATCTCCCAAGAAGTCACGCACTTGCATTTAAAATAACCACTTTGCGGTCTTCACCTTTCCTGCCAAATACACTGATCAATCATTTAGTTTTCTTCCATCTACCCATAAAAGTTGCCAAAATCTGCTCACTTATCGATTTTCCTTCCTTTAAAAGTTGGATTGTATTTTGGCAGGTCATTCAATATTACCGCCTGCAAATGCAGTCTTTCAACTGCTGTAAGCGGGCCATTACTCAGTGCTTTCCGATTCCAAAGCATATAGGCTGAACACGTAATTCTTATTATAAGAAGTAAGTTGTTTGAACTACCGTCATTCTTCTCTTTTTCATCAAGCTCTGAGTAACCACAGTGATCGTATCGCCTCAGTGGGCAGATAATCATATTAGGGCGGCAGTGCAAGTTTAGAGCAGTGATTAGTAGTTCAATTTGCAGAGGTAAAATAGCTTTACAGTAGATTTTTAATTAATTCGTTTTCATTGCAAAACGATCATAATGAAACATTTCAATTAGTTTAGCAGAATAGTTACGTGATGTCAATTACCCCAAAGTTTCCTTTTTTGCTTTATACTAACAATTAAACAAAGTATTGCAAATTTCTGTACTTTCACAAACTCGAAACCGTCTTGTCATCTTTTACAAATACTAATCACCCTTTTCGATTTGTAGAAAGCGGTAAACATTAGGTGCCAACTAAAATAAAAGATTCGATATAGAAATCTCCTTTTGGAAAGGGTTTTGGAACGCTCTTAAGAAACTCAAATTCCTCCAATTTTTCCATTATCGAACACAAGTATTGTGATTAGCCCGATGGACATCGAACAACGAGTCAGCTATGACAACATGAGAATTTACTGAAAGCGTTTAAATAGTAATTAACTTGCAGGTTGGGTATGCGAAGTCTTACCTCCACGTGGTGCTCCCTGGGCAACGTATATTCATGCGGCAAAAAAGCCCATTAACTGGTAGTTGACTTCTAACCTCAAACTACCATCACCCCACAGAATGCCATATTCAACCCCTTCCATAGTACTCATCTTACCTTTTCTCTGCCTTTGTGTCTGTCTGACTCTTTCACATCTGTGGATCATTATTCTGCCACTTATGTTCCTCCTCCTCTCTGTGAAGCCCGAAGTCAGCTAAAAGGCTAATGATAACTATCAAAACGCCTGCTATTTGATATAAATAAACAAACTTGGAGGTTTGTAAATCAGAACACAGATCATGAAATCCTAATCGAAAGTTTTTAAACACTAAAACATTCTTTTTCGCCAATTTAGGGTGACATTTTACCAACTAGTGACTAGCCATTAAACCGCAATGAAGATTTATGCTTCGAAAATTGCGAGATAAGGTTGGGATGTCAATAAATGAATCAACCTTACTCGGGGTCACATCGAGGTCAAATACCCTCCCATCATGTTCCCTTCCCCCTCCCCTCCCCCGCCCCCACGCCTCTCCCAAAATAACGAATATGTTTTTTAGTAGAGACCTGACGAAACAAGTCTGGTTAGTCATCATGATCCTCATAAACTGAATGTTTTATTCTATGGAAAAAACATTAAGGCACAGAACCAAGTATTACAGCTCAAATAACGGCAAAAGAGCTATTTCGGCTATTAAATTTGCACTACTTCAGATGAGATTAAGAAATCTCTTATCCTTGAGAAGCCAACCTCTTTGTATATACTATTTAAAATGTGAAAATGGGCTGAAATTCATTTAAAGGAAAATTTAAAATTAAATTCTCGTATATTTGCACTTTGCTCTTTGAGTATTTTGAAAATAAGAGCAACGTAGGAGACAATTTAAGTAATGTAAATTCGTCAATTTTAAGGGGCGCGATGTTTATCCGATAGAAATAGCAAATATTTAATTAAAATATTGAATAAGAGTAGTTTACAACGTTAATAAAGAACCCAAGAAAAAAACGATTTCAATGATCAAAATGACGTTATTATCGTGTGGCGCAATCTTTTGGCCATACGACTGAATGCAAGAATTCAACCCAAGAATAACTCCGCTGTAAATCATTCAAACGCTGAAAATAGATGTATGCTCAATTAAGATTGCAATTTATTGCACAAGGCCCCGTGAATTAATCTTTTGAAATTCAGTTGCAGTAAATAGCAGAGCATTCTTTGACTAAATGCTGACAACTGTACTGATACGCATGAAGATTATTTGAGATCAAACCGGAAAATTGAATTTGAAAGAGCAAGAAGGAATATTCACCAAGCTATCATTTATTTGTTTCAAATGGCAGGCTTTATGATAGTTATCATTAGTCCTTTAGCTGACTTCGGGTTTCACAGAGAAGAGGAGGAACATCAAAGTGAGAAAAATGCGAGAGGGGGGCAGAAAAGTGATTCAAGGATGCAAAAGAGATAGACAGACACAAGGGCAGAGAAAAGGTAATGTGAGTATTGTGGAAGTGGCAGAATATGACACACAGTGGGGTCATTGTAGTTTGAAGTTAGAAGTCAACTGCCGGTTTATAGACTTTTTTGCCGTATGAGAATACGTTGCCCAGGGTGCACCACGTGGAGGTAAGACTTCGCACACCCAACCAGCAAGTTATCAGCTGAAGGCAGCCTTATTCAATTTAATTCATTATTGGCAGTGAAATGACGTGATTTCGGTATTAGCTTCATTAAAAGTTAAATATTTCTGTTTTCTTTATGAAAAGTTAGGGCATTTCACTAACTTAAATTAGTCTTGATAACTTATTAACAACCGAGATGCCTGAATATCCCGTTAGATATATCCTGAATATTCAGTTAGAAATTAGTTTTCTGGTGGATTTTCGGATGCCTATTGCACCCACCCGTCTTTTAGTTGTTGCATCTCATGAAGTAGTTCTTATTTGATCTATTCTAGAAAGCAAAACTTTAAAGACAGACGTTACCTAAATTCTTATAGCAAAATTTCAAATATCCTGAAATGGCCACTCTTGAGATTATAGTATTAAAATTTGTTCATCAAAGCTCTATTTTTAAAGAAGGATTATTAATGTTTGATCAGCTAAACGAGAAGACATCAAAAGCGCGTCTAAATGCATTTTTGCTATCAAACAAGGAATGTGATCTCATAATACATTAAATTAGCCGTATTACATCACGATTTAGACATGTTGATTGGGATTGGCAAATGAAGATATGTCACAAACGAGGCATTCTGGAGTAATCACTCATGTATTTCAACATTATTACTATTAGCCGAAATCACCATCTATCTCCTTTAGCTACTTTGCTTTTACAAAGTCGGTATAAAACTTAACTAAAAACTTTTTACGTCAAAAAAAAATGTTTTTCGATTTTATGTATGACTTAAATAATTCTATGAATATGGACTTAGAAGTGTGCATTCGTTGTCGTCCGATTACCCAAACATCTTACTACTTGCAAGCTATCAGTAGTGAGGCAAAATCAAAAGTCTAAATCATGATGCAAACATTATTTACAGGCAAGTTGGAGGAACAAGTACAGAGGGCATTCTCGTTAGGGAGGGGATTGCCTAAATGCAACTCACAAAGCAGGTGGCTAAGAATATAAGAAGGAAAATATGAAATAGAGACAGGGTAGAGAATAAACACTGTTATGTTTATATAGGATAGATCGCAAAAGATACACAGTTTCATTAATCAAAACACTCACAGAGTTAAATAGGGAGATCTTTAGATAGGAGTGTTAGTATTTACTTAAACAGAGTTTTCATGGTGAAAGACAAAGCAACGCATAAAATATACTCTCAGGTCTCTGATTTTTCATTAACGGGTAGAAGCTGGTATATTCCTGGGTCGTCTAAGAGTTCAGTAAGGACAGAAGACCGCTTGAGTTCCCTGACGACTGGCGTCCAAGCGAAACCATTCACTACTCCCCCGTCCCTTTCCATCTGCTGAATCTCAGGTGAAATAGAAGACCATGGAGGCCAAGGTTTAGGAGAGGTTCTGGGCCCACGACTTCGGCTACCGACTCTTAAGGAAGCACGCCTTTGAGCGGAATCTACTCCTCGTCTTCGAGCCTCTCGAAGTACTCTTCCACTCGCTAGCACCCAGTTATCTTCATATCGAAGTCGCCATTCAACACCTGTTGACGCAGCGGAAGTTATTCTCAATTCAGTACCAGCAGAATTGTCAAGGCTCATTCGAATTCCAGTTACAGGAGATGAACTGCCACCTAGACGAATGGGGGTTTGAGAGAGAAGGGAAGAGTGTTGAATTTGAAGGACTTGAAGATCACTTGTCAAAGTTGGGGAGATCTTGACAAAGAGTTGGACGAAAGAAGTTACGGCTGCTAAACCGCCGTGAGAGGGGGTTGGAAGATACCACGAGTCCATCAACTTTGCACCGGAGAACAAAACTCGGGCTATTTTAGCAAGAGAGGAATTTACCCCAGGAAGAATTGTGACTGTTCCATCAGAAGATAGGGAAAAACTCACCTAAAGGATAAGTAGTTATGATATAGGTCATACAACTTAAAAAGTTAGTAGTATTGACTGAGCTTACATCGGTGCCAAAAACAGGGGGAGAAGTTTTGATTCTAGCCAACAGGCAGGGATCATCAAACCAGGCAGGAAGAGCGTTACTCGATCCAAATTTAGAAACATCCACAATACCGAGTCTTTCTAGCTCCTCATTCATGTGTTCAGCTTGCTTAAGTTTTCTCGAAGTCATGACAACACCTTGGCTGCACTTAGTAGGGAGATTTTTATATTCTTCCTTAAAAGGAGCTGGAATAGTACCAGTTTCTATTTGAAGTCTTGGAAACAGTCGATCGATTCCTTGGTCAAGTCTACGCAACCACCATGCAGGATCACTAAGAGCAATTTGAAGTCTATTGAGTTGATCCAAGTCACTTCGTTCTGTGAACCAAGCATGGAGATCAAGACCTTGTGGATAGTGATAAAGACGTTTGAGACGTGATTTAACAGCTCTCCTCCAATCGGGACTTGTCAAAGTAGCACCCAATGGATCATAGGCCTGCCAGGTTGGTGTGTGAAATAGGAAACCTGTATGCGGATCAGTCAGAGCTCCACGGTATCCCAAGGGGACTATGAAATCCTCCATTAGAGGTGTGTTTGAATATCCACGATTGACTATACGTCGCCCACCAGTTGCACTGTACTCTGCCGTCCATATTATCTGAAAGAAAGTCCATAAATTTAATTTATTAATCAATTATTTTCCGTCTTTCATCGAACAAACGAATTCCTAAACTGTGAGATCACAAATTTGGGGAAAAGTGGCGAAATTGTGGGATTCGACAAACTTAGTGCCCCATTGCCAAGATGGGAATAATGTGCTATAGCTTTGTTTCAAAAGATCTTCAGAATCAAATGCTAACGTTGTAAATAACATGCTGATACGTGAGATTTCACAAACACCATTGCCTTCCCAGAGACTTGAAGCAATCGAAAAAGATGAGGAATATAGAGGACTCATCAGTGGCCAGAAAAAAGCATTGCCCACAATGCAATTCTCTGTTTTGTTTGCTAGAAATCTCTTCACGCTTTCAGTCGATATCAAATTTACAAATACACTCTTGTCACAATTAGTGGAAAAAATACATATATGAATATGAAATACCATTCTAACTAGATATCAAATATAAAATAATACAGCATTAAGGATGTAAAGGTCAGTTCATCAAAGAAGTTTTTTTAATTAACTATACTGAATATCAAGCTGTCTCAATTTAGTATAATCCATTTAAAGGCCTGCAAATCGTAACCAAATCGAAGTTCAATAAACGCACAGGAAGACTAGAGATTGAAATAAAAAAAACAATTAAGACAATATGAAATCCAGTTCACATTGGATTTCTGAATTGTGCTATAATTCGAACAGAAAATGAATAAATTACTCTACCTTGTCATCTGAATAGAGAGCTATTGGAGATCCCTCGGTATCCGTAATAACAACATACACCTTTCGTTCAGGGTTCGTTTCCGTCACTGCAGAAAGATCAACCTCTTCAACAGTGAACAAGTGACCGGTCTCTTGTTCATACGTCAGGAAGTAGGCCTTTTCTTTGCCGTGATGGAAGAAGGATGTTAATCGATTTCGATATTGAGGGTGAGCGTAGAAGAATTGAATACAATCGTCTAAGATGAGGATATTCCTCAAGACAACCAAACGGTCTTCAGCATCGTAGAGATATTGGATGGCATAGTCTTTGACTTGACCCATTTCCTGAGGATAGCATGCGTTTTCAAGACCGTTACAGAAGGGTTCTTCCACTTTAGTTTTCTGATCTTGCTGTGTCATTGAAGACATAACACGACGTTCAGCCCATCTTAGAAGACCTTTGGCGTCATATTCAAACAAATCTTCAATGCCTCCAGAGTCTCGAAGTTTTCGTTCGATCAAACAACCATCTTCGTCGAAGGTGTACTTCCAATTTCCAAATCCAGAAAGAAGACCTCGCTCATAGATGAATTTTGTGGTGATATGTTTGCTTTCACTACTGCCGGCTTTAGCAAACTGTGAGTCTGAGATATAGTGTCTGAGATCGGATATTCTTGATTCCTCATTGTAGGAAACTTGGACGTGCCTACGTCGGCTTGAACCCACGGTTTCGTATTCAATACCTTCAATTCGACCGCCTGGGCCTCGTCTATAGTGAGTTCGCAGCGGAACATCCTCAATTATCTCCAAATTCATGTCAGAGGGAAGAAGACAGTCGGCAGAGTACAAGAATGTCACATTTATTATTGCCTCCTGGCGTTTAGATTCCTATTAAAAGAAGATAACAATGTTTACCCTACTTAAACAAACCCAAAACTGATTTTCAACAACGCATGGCCTTTTACCATCGTTATTTATCTAGGACGGTTTGTGTGATGTGTAGACTTCTCTTGTTTTCAGACAGGCTGCAAAACTTAATGACAGGCATATACTCTCCCACATTCAGCCTCAACTTTTGACTGTAATACGCATTTAACGTCTTTATCGCATGGCTCATTGTAGGGTTGATTTTCAATTTGTCCTTCTTTCTGGCATTCTTTTGGCTAGACTACGTCTAATAATTCGTCTCAATTCTCATTTCACATTAGTATCGATTATAAACCACCTAAATGTGCAAGTAGGCGAACTCAATCACCGATTACCTATTAGTCTACCTTAAACCACACACACGTTAACCCACCATAAAGAACATTCATTTTGCTAATTTAAATAAACTCCTTCCTTCTTTTTATGCCCAAAGTAAGTTTCGTTGTCATGGAATAATCTTTAAGTTGAGGAGTGCGCGATAGACTTACCTCCACGTGGTGCATCCTGGGCAACGTATACTCATACGGCAAAAAAGTCTATTATTCAGCAGTTGACTTCTGACTTCAAACTACCATGACCCCACTGTATGTTAAATTCGACCACTTCCACAGTACTCATCTTACCTTTTCTCTGCCTACGTGTCTGTCTGTCTCCTCTACATCTGTGAATCACTCTTCTGTTCCCCACCCCTCTCGAATTTTTCTCACTTTGATGTTCCTCCCTCCCCCCTCTGTGAAGTCCGAAGTCAGCTAAAAAGCTAATGATGACTATCAATATGCCTGCCATTTGAAATAAATAAATAAATCTTTAAGTTGAATAAACGCAGTCTTCAATTCTGGGACGTGGCGAGAAGTGCCGAGCCTGTTTTCTTATCGTATCAACTGCGCATTTATAGTTAATCAGAAAATTGATCAGTTCAAAGTTAGCTAACTTATTATTTCACTTGATTTTTGCAAATACCTTTATTACCTTAGAGAGATGTATTTAGCTCCATTAGACTAAAGATTATGGAATTTCAATGAAAGGGACGTTAGAATGTATCAAGTCGAATGATGAAATATCCTTGCACAAAAGCACTACCTTGAGACAATTTAATTTGAGCACATGATACGTCCAGTTATCGGATAATCAGAAGCCTAGATATACAACTCTAGCTTCGCTACTATATCTGGCTAAGCAATTACTTGCTTAATTATAAAATACAAAATTGCAGCTGCCTCAATTGGTCAAATTCTCAAAATTTGATTTGCTCAAATTTTTAAAACTAAACGCTGTAGTTTTTGAGAGATTAGACAACATTTCAGACACCAAAATGCGCACTCTCTTCTTTCAACCAATTGTAAAGATCTTCAAATTTTAACATTTTGGCGTCTTTCTCACTGGAAAACTCGTCCATTTTGTTGGAATGAAAACATTAACTGCAGGAATAACAAATATCCTGGTATATCCACACAATTAAAAATGTCCCAAATATTTGATAATATTGCAAAATGACCGAGCAGTCTTTGCAGAACTAGTCTAAATAATCCCTCTAGATGTGATGAAATCCTATCTAACAATCTTAAACATAATCTCACGCATTTCAAAACTGTTTATGCGCAAAAAACCCCTAGAGTAAATTCAAAAGTAAACGAATCCCAGCTTGTTCAAATAAAGTGCAGATGGACAGGAAAACAGGAATTTAAAATGTGTAGTAAATTTTTGCACACGTGAAAAGCAAGCAGCCAAACGTACCTGTAACGCAAAGGTTAATAAACGACCAGAACTATCGAATCGTCGATTCAATTGAATACCAGTTTGACTCAGAACCAGAGAACTTGAAAGACCATCTTGGAAACAATTGGCTCCTAGGGGACTGATGGAATATCCCGACCAACTGTTGGAGGCTATATGAGTACGATGACACCATAGTGGAGAGGTTGTAGACGATTTGTAGAGACAGGATCGAATTCCAGAAACCTTAAACAAAAAATATCACTAATCGTCGTCTGCTTAGTTGACAAGAATGATACAACATATACTCGAATAGCTTACAATGAAACTATGATCATACTCATATTCATATGTATATGTCAGAAGTCCAGATCGTTTTGGTTTGGGTCTCTTTGTTCCAGCAAGAGTCAATTCTCCTCTTACATGAGTCACCAACGTTCCAGTACCAAATTGACGCTTTTCTTCCAGATTGAATTCATTGATAGAGTCCTGAAGTCTAACAGACGTAGAATCGATCAAATCTTCCTTGTCCCAGCTGATCTGAATATTGTCATAGACGACTAAACGCTTCGCCCAGAGACGATTAACTCGTCGACCTGATGGCCAAGTGAAGCGGGCTAGAGGATAACCCTGGAAAGATCCAGAAGGTGGAACTCTAGTTTCCCAGTCATAGGTGAAAACAGCAGAATTCAAGGATCCAGATTCTAGAGCCCATGGAACTAAGGTCAAGCGTTCAACTCCCAGGCTGGTAAAAAGCGAGAAGGTACGATAGGTTCCAAGAGGCGTGATAAGATGGGAAAAGCCACTTTCACCCGTTTGAGGATCGTTCTTGTAGACGAAATGGTAGGTACCGATACCACTGACAGAAACATCGGTGGGCTAAATACACAAAACGTAAATATTTAGAACTGGATACTATTACAAATATTACGTATTTTACCACATGGGTGCGAATATTTGCTGAGTAGACCAAACTGGTACGATTGCCCATTTCATATGCACTAACGAGTATGGAGCTAGCAATCTCTCACTTAGCAACCCCACATATTAAACGCTATGCTGAAATCTACTTCTCTTTTATATTGCACTTGCACAGGGCGAACTAAAATTTGGCTGAAAATTTCGCCTAAGAACCCATAAAATCTAGAACTGGAGTTAGATTATATCAGTCCCATTCAAATAACAAATATAAATTACTAAAATAGGCTAATCTATGATCTTTTAGTTTTAATGCTCATCTCTTTATAAAAAAATAGTATTAGATTCTTTAGATAAGCCCTAAACAATTCCCCTGTAATTAAAATTAATGAATAAATTCAAACAATAATCCAGCTGTTCAATTTAAATTTTTATCATCTTATCAAGGAGTGAATCACTGGTATTCAGTATCCTCCCTAGAAGATTCAAGGTAAAAAAATATTTCTTTTTTTTGCATAATAAAAAGTTTGAATCCTTCTTTTTGACAAAGAGTAATCAAATAGGTGGTCAAATCAAGAATAAAATCGAAAGAAAATTACAAAAAGGGTAAATAAGCGCCTATGAAAAGAAAAAACGAAAACTAGCAGAAATGCAGCAATGGTTTTGATTAGCAATTTAAAACAAAAAAACTAAAGTTATAGGAAATTTATCTTTCACAAGAGAATACAACAGTGTCCTTATTATTTGCGTGCCAAGACAAAAGGTGGAACCTGCGATCATGAAGCGCAACAAGACGATTCAAAAAGAAGGGGGCAGGGATCCAGAGAAGGTATATGTTTTAAATGAGCACAGGGTAGTTGGTTTCCTTCTTCACTTCCGAGTTTAATTTCGTTGTTAACTGGTTAACGAGTGGTTAAAGCAACAGAATCTTCAGAAATCGAGCTAGTTGAGTACGCGGCAAGGTGTATCGATTTCTCTGCCCTATTCATTCAATTTGAGTAATGATTTATCGACCGATCTTAAATATAAGTATATCGATTTTCCCATATCATTCTAAACTGGCTTACTGATTGTTTTTCTATTACTCAGTCAAGTTTTCTTAGTCCTCTTTGTTAAAAATCCTATCACTAACCACCTGCCTCCTTCCTATGTTACTGTATTAAAAAGGGGACAAAGCATACACTGCCCTTTCAAAGAGATCATTACACTAAAATGATTTACACTACTAATAGGAAAAGTAAGCATATCTGCCAAAAAAATAGAGACCAAAGAAATGGCTCTCTAACTACTCGATAAGGGAAAATCAAGCATAATTTTACACCTCTACAAATGGATGAATATCAAAATTACTTTTGCAAGAGATATTTTCATTTTTATCATTTATTTATTTATTTCAAATGGCAGGCTTTATGATATTTATCATTAGCCCTCATTTTTATCATTGTTGGTCTCAATAATTACTCGTGAAATTTAGTCGGAATAAGCGACAACTTTGAGACCAATTAAACAACCAAGTAAAAAGGTGATTATTGAATTAAAAGATGTTTTGAAAAGAGCAATTATGGTTGAGTTGGATGAATGAGTGGAAAAGAAAACTGAAGACTGCATAAAAACGATTTAAATGACTTCATTGCAAACACAAATTCAATGAAATATTAATCCATGTTCACATAGAGAGCGTTAGTGTTAGATGGAAGAATATTTACTTATTTATTTCAAATGGCAGGCGTTATGATAGGTATCATTAGCCCTTTAGTTGACTTCATGCTTCACAGAAAGGAAGATGAACATCCAAGTGGTAAAAAGTCGAGAGGGGGAAGAATAATAATTCACAGACGTAAAAGAGATAGACAGACACAAAGGTAGAAAAAAGGTGAGGTGAGTACTGTGGAATTATTCGAATATGAAATTCAATGGGGTCATGGTAGTCTGAAGTCCGAAGTCAACTGCCGATTAATAGACTTTTTTGCCGTATGAGTATACGTTGCCCAGGGTGCACCACATGTAGGTAAGTCTATCGCACACCCCAGATGGAAGAATATATCACTCTGCATTTTAGTGAGATATGGATGGGCAATTTAAAAATCCTTTTAACGAAATTGGTTCACTGGAACTACAGTCTGAAGTTGGCAATTCCATAATCGAACCGCGTAATAAAGACGCCATAAAGCCAATTAGGAGGAAAATGAATACAAGAAAAGGAAATTTCATATAAAGAGCCATACTTTTTGTTATAACAATGGTAACAATATGCTCCTTTATTTGAACTGAGGATTTCGTAAAACCCATTTATTAAATACACCAAATTTGCTTCCATTTTCAAGATAATTTAAGTTATTTAATTTACATTGATTACTCCAGTGAACTCTGTAAAGCTAGAAAGTCATTGTTTATTTTATCTGCATGACCTTAGCTACAAGATAAGCTCCACCTCCTATCATTTAATCAAATAATTTGGTGAGCAAACACCAAATATTCCGGAAATAAACCCCCTTATAAACATAAATTTGAGATTTGAAGCCCTTGGGTATTACGAACCATCGTTTACACTTCATGGGGAGGGGATAGTGAACAACCACTAGCGTTCAGAATTCGATTTCGCACACCTTTCATTCCTCAGTGGATTGTTTGGACATTTCCTACCCTGCACCATGATTAGACGTTTTTCCGCATCGGAGTGCGCAAACACAATCACAATGGTAAAAAGGAAGAAACACTCGCTTAATCAAATAGGCAGGGGAAGGAAACGAGATAAATTAGATCAAAATAGACAAAACAAGGCGCAAATAAATATAAACTGGTAGAAATACGGCGATTAGTAACTACCGCCAGGTACATGCAGAAGCGCTATTTAAATTGATTGGATGCATATACGTAGAGACGAGAAGAAAAAATGGAGGAAAAGAAGGTTGGGCAGAGAATGGTACTCCCAGAGGAGAGAGAGAGAGAGAGAGAGAGAGAGTTTCATCCAGTCAATATTCATTTCACAAACAGGGCTTTTTACAATGTAGGGAAAAATTAATTGCTATTTATCCTCACAAAAAGTAAAGGATACTATAGAGCAATCCAATCATAAAAAAACAATAGATCCAGAATAAATAACAGAATATGCAATTTAAAGTTAAATCCACCAAAAAGAAAAGTGAATAGTCACAGTCAATTTCGAGGCCAGAAAACACGCAGTTGAAAAATGAAGTCAAATAGAAGCCTCGCCTAAAGTGGGGAAATATGGCCAAAAGCGCTTATTTTTTATCTCGGGAACCAAAACAATTCACATCTACTTGCACATTCCGACCATTGAAATAATCATAGTCACTTATTGGCATTCCCAATTTAAAATAAAGTTATATCAAATTATAATGACTCATCGATTTTCTCCACCCATTTAAGTGTATGAATGAATTTTCAGCAAATACTGACGCGTTTATGTTCGTATCGATTTCCTACAAGTTTGTAATTTGCACAACTGACAAGAATTTACTTCATTTACTAAAACTGGGCAAATTTTAATGAAATGAAATATTAAAAAGAAATTAACAAAGTAAAGATTATCACTCATAGTAATGAATGGAAATATTTTAAGTGCAGGAAGTGAGGACATTTAGGAATGGAAATAGTCATTCCACTTTGGCTGGTGTTTGGGAGAAGAGAGCGCACTTTATCAATATTGCGCTTAAGAAAAACCAACAATGCCTTTTCACCTAAAAGTGCTTAATTACCATTACCTTTGGCTTTAATACAATTGCTGACTAGGCTTTGGCAAAAACCATTTTCTAAAGGTCGGATCTTGAAAACGCATTTCTTGCTGCAACGAATTCAATATGTTCTAAAAAATATAATTCTAATCTTGATCTCCTAACATAAGTAAACGCAGACAAGCATTTTGCTACACCATTAATAACTGGGTTTAAAGGAAGGTCTATTAAAGATCATGACTAACGACTTACCAAGTATGGAAGGTTTGGATTTTGATAATCGAAGACAAGTGTATTTAACGTGCTTCCAATCTCTGCAGTCCTCAGACGTTTCGAAGAATCGTAGCTCAAACGGTAGTTAGCCACTCCCCAAATGGCATCCTTCAGCTGTCCCTCACTTTAAGATATAAGACAAAAATAAAGAAAATTAACTATCACATAAATAAGTAATTAACATTTTAAGTAAATATTTATTTGTAGACGATTTCTTGATTCGTTTAGTCCGAGCTTGTTCTTTTTTTCCTTAAAATTGTAGTTTCATGACAAAGTCATATTCGCAAATCGTGTTAATCCAGTAACGTCAGTGTTTTCCCTTCATCTGTTTCCCACTCAGCATAACAAACAGCAGGTAACGCAAATGACGAACAAATTATTTTGACAACAAGTGCCAAAGTGTCTGCAATAGGATGTTCACTAGCTTGCCTATTTCAATAAGTTTAACCAAATAAGTGTCGAGCATTATCGATTTTTTCAATAATTAAAAAGAAACCGCCTCCTGAAGTGTACTATCATGGCAGTCTTATGCAGATTCGCCTAATGCACATCATTTACTGATTGTAAGAGCAAAATTTTAAAACTGTCATACCTGAAAAAATATTATTCGCGTTCTTATTTTAATGCCTCTTATTCCGTATTATAGAAACTAGAGCCCATTTCAATTGGTAAATCTTAAACCCTCGTCATTTCATGTTGAACTTTCCTATCTCCTAAGTGTCAGAGCTTAATCTTTTACAATAAACCACTTAAAAAAAGATTTCCGTGGAGGATGAGGTATTTTTTAGAGAAATTGTTCCTACACAATCTACAGCACAATTAACCACATGGGAAGGCACAAAGCTTTTTTGTTAACCTTTTAGTGATACATGATTTGGTATTCCTTTGATTTGATTGTTTCCTCTAAACGTACAATGTTACTTGTAGATTTGGCACGCCCTAACTAAAATCATAATTATTCTTGAAAGATACAGCCTAAGTCAATATTTCACACAAAATCGTAGTGTCAAAATTGGAACTTTGAGGAAAACGATATACATTATCCCAGTAATTTAAAAATACTCAACTTCAAAACCCACACATCCGCAAATCGAACTTGACCAATAATAAGAGTTTAGTCATGTGTAATCATCAAATTCACCTGTACTATCAGAAAGATTATCTTAGGTCATCGCCAATGGACCAATCACCTCATGTAACGCGGTACAAGTCTTTTACCCCCATATTTACCTATCTATCTTGGTAGGTCATAATTTCCATTCCAAAAATATTTTCCCTATATACATATAAAGTGAGGCTGGAGTTTTTTAAGTCGAAATAAATCAGTAAGATGGCACGTACGAGTTCCTATTTGTCTAAGGCAATAGGGTTAAGGGTAGATAAATAATCAAAATGCCTAGGAAATTATAGAATGCAAATTATTTCCTTCGACAAAGGAGAGCGATATCTCCTGTCGACTTATTTAAGCTTTTTTCGATTAAATACGAAGAAATTTACTATTTAAGGAGAAAGGATGATAGGCCAACTTCTGCTTTATGCCTTACGGATATTTTTAAACTGAGACTCGAAGTAGTATGCAATTAAAATCGAGGGTAAAATGTTTCATTAAATTCTCGTCATTTTCGTGCGATTCGAAATTACAACCAGACCGCGATCTCATGTCAAAATTGTCTACCTCTCATGTAGCGAAATGGGATAAGGTGGGAGGGAAGGTGATGGGCCAGAGAGTAAAACTTTATAGCCCACTCCATTAGGCTGCAATAATTCATAAGACAACGGAAATTTCATGCCAGTCGATAGAATTAAATTTCCAGTTCCACCTCTTAGGGACAAACTTTCACTTTCTACAGTGCAAATTTCGAAGTGAAATACTGTGGGTACTAGGTTGGTTTTTAAATCGATTTTTAACAAGAACTGAAAGGACTGGAAAATCTCTTCTTTAAGCAATAATTTATCTTCCGCAAAACTGGACGCAAATTGTCAAAGTTATTACATACCATAATTGTCCTATCCAGTTTCATTAGATTTTATAAATTAATTAACTGGTCTTTTGTCACCAATAAATTAACCAACCGATCAGCTAAGAGCCGCACAATTTTGAGCAAAATTTCTTCACTAATCGATATTTAATGACAATAACATTGCGTTTAACCAACACTATTAAAAAGGAGAATAGAAAAGTCTTTGCCATTTTAGAAAAACTTTCCCAACTTTGAAATTTCTTCACATGAAAATTTTCCCACACAGACTGCAAAATACAACCAGCAATCTGACTTTCAGAATCTTTGAAAGAATCCGGAAAAGGGAGCAAAGGGGGTCAGAGTGTGTCAATCAAAGGCCAGAATTCGACCATCTGGAGTGAATGCCAGTCATCATTAGACCACTTTTCATCAAAAATGACTCATTTTTCCAGAAGACCTCGAGGCAATTGGATTAAATGACGGAAAACGTTTTTCACCTATGTATCCTGTTTCCTTTTTTTCGTGAAGAAACAAATTAGAGGGAGATTTTAGGAAAGCATATTTTCGAAAGTGCAGAAATTTTCCACCGAAGACTTTCAACCTAATCCCAAACCAAGACTAACATCATCAAATAGTGAAAAAAGTGAGGTCTTAAGAATAAAGGGTACCATACGATTAAAGGGAATTCCTGACATAGCTGAAATGTAATTTTTACGTTGCGCAACTCTTTTAATCCTGTAAACACTATTTTCAAGGCCAACTCACTTCATTAACATAAATATTAATAGGAGATTTGCTAACAAAATTTCATCCATCGATTAATACCCATGTGTACAGACTCGGAGAAAGCGCGTTCAACTCAGACCTCACCAATAAAATCCGACTAGTAATTCAAGTTTTGAAAACTCCATCCTTATTTGTTTTTTTAGAAAAGTCTCTAAGTTGCCTCTAAATGCCATGACAATCTGCTATTTGGCGTTTCAACCAGCAGCCTTGAAAGAACATGGAATAGACTTCCGAGTTGAGAAGTCATAGGATCAAATGTATACAACCGCATGCCTGAATAGCAAGTTGCTAAAAATAAATTATTATAAATGGTGTTTGGCACCAAACGAAGAAGTAAACCACTTAGAGAGAAAAGCGACCCATCATAAAGACAAATGAATATAAACAAAATTCTTCGCGCCTCTTAAAGGTGATAGATGTGGAAAGGATTCCACTCTAAGCGTGAAAATATGAAAGTTATCATTATGGATTGAATGGAAAAGCAATGGGAAACAATTTCGAAGCCCAAAGTTCAAAGATGAGTTATTCAAGGAGAAATAAGATGCTGGATGAGTATAGATCGCTGTAAAACCTCCCACAGGAATTGTATTGAAGTCCAATTGGATTCCCATTTACGAATCAGATTTCAAATAAGGCATGCGTTTGCATTCTGCTTTGATAAGAATTGAAAACCTGATTAATAATTAAATTATAGAGCCCTATACATGCATTTACCCCTAGAGGAGCGTGCATGCACCTATTTGGTTAAATTTCCATGTATAAAAATTGATTAAATAGAAAATATCCATCATTATAATATCTGGAGTTTCAAGTAGAATGTTTGAGATGGCTTGCCATAGGTCGTCACTCAATCAACTGTTTTTTTAGGAAACAATAAATGGAGAGCGTTCCTTAAAAACACAAAAAAGGACGTACTTTTCGGTTTATGACTGGACCGAACGAAGGAATTGTGTTGATGCTTCACACCCTAACCTCCCAGGACACAAAAACAAAGTCTGTTTTAAGACATTCTATTAATTTGCAATCTTTGCCAAACCCATTCTGACAATTAGATCTTCGTTAATTGAAGGGTTTCGTTTCGTTTGTAGAACTGACAGCTTGACAAACGTGAAATGAATTGCGTCTCGAACATGCTAACCTTTCTGCAGATAAGTTGACAGATTCGGAGACAACCATAACTCCATTTTACCCTCCAACAGATCCTTACTGTAAACGTCGAATTCTCTTTAAGCTAGGTAAATCGCAGTGTTTGCGCATTTAGATTGTTTAAGCAATGACAACTTATCGCATGAGCTTTGTAATCGTTTAAATTGAAAGAAGTATAAAACTTAAAAGGTTCTCAATTTCAAGCCAATAAGACGAAAAATCTCTAACGAAAATCAATATTTATACCAAGCATGAGATGCCTTAAAGCCATGGTATATAGAACAAAATACCTACCGAGTGTAAATGATACGCAACGGAGCCATCATAGAGTCTTGCGCTGAAGCTTTGGAGGAGTTGGCGCCAATACTAGGCGACATGTCGACGAATCCAGATTTGGGAATAGGAGCCACCGGCTGAGTCGTGAAAAGAGTTGGCTGCATGTTTGCATTGTAGACAATTTGAAGAAGCAATCGATCGGTTGAAGGGCTGCGGAATGTCTCAGTTAGGAGTTCCCGATCGAGAGTGACCGAGAGAATGGGCTGCCCATTGATCTAAGATTAAAGCACAATTTCCCATCACTCGTTAACAATGTGCTTTTGTTTATTCTAAATTCCTAATAATCCTTCAGTCTCCTCCTCTAGGTCTTCTTATTCAATAAGAGCTTTTGTACCTTGCTAGGCTTGAATAAGGTGGTTCTAAATCGAAATGGATCGAATCCTTTCTATTGACATTAGAGGTGCTTTATTAACGAACACACAATGTACCCATTTTAATAAAGATATGATTATTCCATTGGTCATATCTTCTCTAACCATTTCTAAATTACCCATAGAAGAGATTGGAATCAAAACATGTTAAAAATGGTTAATCAGATCAAAAAGAATAGGGAGGAAAAAATAACTTTTCTTAACCTTGAAAATTATCATCAAACGTGGGTGATAAATCATACCAGCGAAAAGGGAGTCACCTTTGAACGGAAGTCCAGGTTACAGGGGATTATCAATTAAGCGAGTGCACCATTTCAGACTTGCTTTTTGATGAAGAAAGATAAAAAATCTTCTCCACTTTTCTTGACAATTACTTTAAACCTTTTCACTTCGCAAAAATACAAAATCATGCAGTTAAGTTTTAAGGAGTTTGTCTTTTTTGGGCACCTTTCGGAAATATTTCCGAAACTTTAAGTGTGCAAAAAATAAGATCTTGAATAGGGTAGGTTGGGGAGGAGGGGAGGGTTAGGAGGGGGGGGGAGGTTGAATTGGCCTGAATTTTCTAATTTCCCACCTTAATAAAGAGTTGTCAAATTATCCCACTATTTAAAACAAACGTGATATTCTCAAGATGATTAGAAAGACGATGATTAACTAATCACCCATATCAAATATTGATTCTGAAGGTAGTTAAAAATGCGAATTAAGGTTGATTTGTCAATAAATTGTCGATACTTGTTTTGATTACATATTTGACAATAATCCAAACAATTTAAAATTCTGTCCAGTAAATAAGCAGGTTTAAAATCCGCAGCACCTCAATATTAAAGGTTTGCTTCGACAGGGAAAAAATCAATCAATAAAACACTTATATGTTGCAAATTAAAAATTAATAAAATGAAAGGTGATTGAAAGTGTAATATAATTCAGGAATCATAAAACTAAGAAATGTATAAAAAAGCTCGAAAAATTAGTAAAAAATCAGCCTGACGCTAAGACGAATGATAATCACAAGTATAACTTATTTAACAGAAGGACCTCAACTGTCATTCATTAGCTTTATAACTGTTTCTCGAATCGAAAAGTCTTAACCTCCTTTTTATGGGATTTTTAGCTTAGTCTCAAGTTTTGGAATGAGTATAGTCGGGACATTCTTTTTTCCGGGAGGGGGGCTATAAGTGTGTTCAACAACCCCCAGAAATATGGACACATTTACCATTATCAAATCTAGGTATTCCTTCTAACTTCCACAGTTGGATATTCGAAACAGCCAACACTCCACTCTTTGTCACCCTCTACTATACTAATCAAAATTGAAATCTGCGTGTCAAAATCGTACTTTTGGAAAGTACAATTGCATTGTCTACTAGTATATACATTGATTCTATAAAAAATTATGCATTTTTTGTAACTTTCTCCGAAAAAAAGCGGGGCACATATGCTACAATGACGTAAGAAGGCTTTCAGTAAATCTTGCATACTTGAACATTGTATTTTCGATTCTTAATAAAAAGACAACAAATTTTGCTCATTAATAAATAAAGCCCAAAACACTGGCGGAATCTGACGTATTCCTAGGGACTGTTAGAAACACAGCACATTTTAGTTGAATTTGGAAGATCGAGTCGATTTAACATCTACAAAACGATCATATTTCACGAAACTATAATACTTTTCTTTAGGTTAAGATCCACATTATTACCAAAACTTGAACATCATTTTTAGGTCAAATAAATATAACAAGTTAAGATAGGACTGGAATCGTAAGGAGCACAATAGGAAAGACTTACGGATAGCGTTTTACGAGTCTTTTGAATTGCATCGGAAGGCAATTCCCTTCGCTTTCTTCCAAGAAAGAGGGACGATGAAGAAGGAGAAGACTGTAGAGAAAATCTCCTCTGTCGAACGGGACTATTGTCGACACCGAAGTCCTGAGTGATGACCCCAAAAACGTCAAAACTTGACATTACCCTTGGAGAAACAAAATGATAAGATTATGAATGTTGAAATTAGAAGAATGCGTCACAGCCTATATATATTGCTTACAAATTTTCAATAAGACGGGGCGTAGGCACTGAGGAATTATCTGAATTACTGCTCGAGCTGAGAATAGTGCCCGAAGATTGGGGTTGAACAAACATTCGAATCCTACGTCCAACTTGCCACGAAGCATGATTCGCTGTGGTGTCACTGGAAGTTGACTGGGGCTTAAGACGTTCAAATATTACCTCTTGAGCTCCTCCAGAGTACGTCAGTTTTATCACCTCGTCATTCGGAGAGGAAGTCATTGAGATCTCTCGAGAATCTACTTAAAACAGATTCAGTAATTTAGGCAATTTTCCAGAGAGACTATAGTTGGAAAAATAAGGTTCAAAGTATACCCAATTTTTCGAAGAAGTCACTTTCTTTCTTTCCGTCTTTACTGATCGGGATAGAATATATCCATCCAGAAGGAAGGACCACAGACGTTAACAGGGAAGTTGTTGGCGAAAAAGTGGCAACGTAAGGCAGAGAACTCGAAATCGTCCAAATTTTGCGCAACTGATCACGATCAGAGTACTCGTAACGACAGACCCCACCGAAAGGACTGCCAATCGATCCAAACCCCTTGAACATTGGCGCGAGAGTTAAGTTATGGGTCTCGCCTATGAGTGCATTAAGGCAAAAAAAATATAATGAGAGCTAAAATCACATCCACATAGGGAGACTCTCCCAAGGGACTAATCGCTCACGTTAATGAAGCGGAAAGAGAGCAACACATACATACACACTCGAGTCTTCTGTCATGAAAACTAATGGAAAAAACAAAGAATAACGGCCAGTACAAATCCATATGTTTTTTTTTCATTTAATGCCAAAAAAGATAATAATGGATTCGAGGTAGTATAAAATAAAGTAAAATAAAATCAGTCAAATAAGTAGTTATGAATATCAAGGGCGTAGACACACACACACACAATACTACCTAGAGATCAGATCATTATTCAATGAGAAAGGGGAGAACCTATTGTATCTAGATCTCATGACGTCTCTGTCAGCATCCATTCCTCTTTCAATTCATTTGCTATCGATCGTGTTCAACTGATTCCTCATAATGGAAAGTTGTGAAAGTCTTGAGGCATATAGAGCATATATGTTATTACTATTTCACAAAAAGCTCAAATACTTCTACAAAGTGAGACTGAAACACTCTCAAGCATTGCCTAAAAGAAAATACCAGCATGAAACTACTCCCATTGTTATAAACTTATTAATTCCTTCGACAGAATGGAAGACGACTTCCTGCGAAAATTGCGAGAAAAATTCAGCGGCCAAGTTTCTAAGGACCACGATATACATTTTTTCGTCTATTCAAGCTACATTATGAAAAAAAACGGAAAATGAGAATGCATTTCATTGACCGCCTGTAGCTTGAAAATTTGATCGAATTAATTAAGTGATTCACGGTGATTTACAGAATCGGAGATTTTGACTATAAAGAGCAGAATACCTTATTTCTCGATCAGATATATAATACTTTTCAATAGTAATGCTTAACTGACTAAATTTCCTTGACCGTTAAAAATCCACCAATCGAATTTTTCCTTTTTTCACTTCGAGCTGCTTAATTGGTCAACTATTTTTTCTATTCTTTAGCAAGTCAAATTATGGCATGAATACATTACTTATCCCAAGAGACTTAGACGGCATTTTCATTCATACTGAAAAAAAACACATGATCATTTTGAATTATCTTTACAATATTGATCTCGGTTCTCGACTAAACACTCTGTTTGTTAAAATCGACCGAATTTGAAGTCAACAGTTCTGAACCCACCTGTATTTAACACAATCTGCTGTGGGAATCCAAGTGGGCTGATCTTGAATGCCAACTCATACGACCCAATCTTCAACGTAGACAACCATCCGTTTGCTGTAAAGGCGAAGGAAGAAGTCTTCTGTTGGGTCAACGTATCAATGACTCCTTCCAATTGACCTTGTTTATTAAATACTTGGGTCTCAGATGCTGATCGCTTGATCGAATATTTTCCATCTTTTCCAAGTTTAGGTGGAGCTGGTCGGACAGCAAAGATAACGTTATGCCCAGAATCAGCTATAAATACTTCATCGAAGATTCCAACACTGATAGAGGTAATATTGACAAATGGAAAATCAACAGCTGGATGCTCAACTAGAAGATTAATTTGGTTGTAAGTTTGAATCTTCTTCGAAGGGTTGAGAAGTCGAGAACTGGTGGTTTGAGGAACATTCCAAGCAGAAGTCGATGTTCCTCCAGCAAATAGATGAAGTCTTCCATCAGAACGCCGAATCCAGATCACATCCGATTCTGTGATGTAGAGTTCACCAATGGAGGAGAAGGCAATTCCACGAATCTCAGAAAATTCGAAGTCGACAGCAAATGGAGAGTTGGTGGATTCTAAAGATTGATCCGACGATGCTGACGATCTGGATGGTTTATTTGAATTGGAGTTGGAATATGGTTTGCATCCCGGAAGTCTACCTGCGGCTAGAGAAACCATTCGACTTGCCAAGTGTAGACGGTAAACCTAAAATGTATTATGAAAAAAACTTAAATACGTAAAATGAACGGAAGCAATGGGTATCTACAATTCATTGCTGAAAGGAATCCTAACTTTATTTCTTATATTTCGAATGACCTCAAAGTGTACATCTCATTTTAAATGGATAGTAAGTTGAGTTACAAGTCGAACAGACAATAATTAGCTGTGCGACAATGTTTAACACCTCAAACGTTTTAAAGCGAAACGATGGCCGTTTGAGCGTAGTTTCTAATTTTATTCAAAGTTACTGAAAACCAATTCAATTAGTTAGCTCAAGAATAAGAAGAAGAATGATCAAAGAAATGGGACAAGTTTACTCTGATATATTAAGTTGATAGTATCATTTCAAATCGGGATCAAAAGTCAGGTTATTCAAATCCACTTTGTCCCATTAAATCTAATCTATAATGCAAACAAATACTCAATTATGCTCCTCAAGCACATCTTTTTGGAGATGGAAAGATTCTATACTCCTTTTACTGATAAGTATCGGAGAGTGCAACTGGCACAATCAGGTATGTCTTCGAGTTTCATCCTCTAACTTATAAGACACGCACGATTTTCGCTTAAATAGATAATTATCTAGGCCAATAAGAACAAGAATTAGAAATCCCTTGCAGCACCAGGTAAGAGTGTTGTTAGTGTGGGAAAAAAATCGGTCACGAGTGTCATGCTTGTAGAAGTACGTTCGGCGAAGAGACGACAGAAGAGATAAATAGCAAATATATATGAAATATAAAATAGCAAAGATAATATTTCCTGCGTTGTAAGTGAAAGCTTATTGCTTGTGATCAATTTAATACCAAGTTCTTAACGTGGAATTTATAAACCAAATCACTCGCGTTCTCTAACATTTTCCCCTTAAGGTCACTGCAGGTATTTACGCTCTGTCGGATATCATCGCGAAGTAAACGTATGGCTCAGACTCAGATCGTGTCTAGACAGGTCTTACGGTTCTATTTACTTTTTTTGGTAGTTTTGAGACTACGAACAGCCGTTATTATTAGTTTGGACACGCAAAAAAAAGCGGAGCGTAAAAGGGCAATATTAACTACGATCAAGAGTCTTGTAAGTAAATGTGATATACACATACGCGTTTGTCATCAACGTAGTAGAGACAATCCTCAACAGGGTTGTATGCGATGAAAGTGGGGTCAGTTAGTTGAACTTTATTCGCAGAAAGAGATCGCTCACAGGGCATAGGCATTCCGCTTCCATCTGACTGCCCAATCACCAACTCCATTCGACTTGACCTTTGACCCGGAGGTCGACGCAACTGGTAACGCCAGAGACGTTTGTCATCAATAAAAAAGAGGTCCTCCTAAAGGTAAGGTATGGGTATTTTGTTCATTTAGTGACCAAATGTCAGTCTGTAAAAGCATATTCAGATGACTGTTTACGGTTTGCTACATTTACTAAATTTAAACAAACTTGTTTATGGCACTAGCAAAGTTATGCTGTTCAAATGCACAAAATAGCAAGTGGTAGAATATTTTTTGGAAAAAACTAACTGAAAACAATAACATATGCATGTGCGTCTTTGTTTTAGGAGCCTGCTTGTGACAGTAACATGAATTTTGCAAACTCAGGCAAAACATGTTGGTATTATTTAAGCAGAATTATTAAATTTACCACCAATCCCAGCAGTGTACCGGTGATAGAAAGTGGAGTCGGTTAATTAATCTTTTTAATGGGGACGAATAAGATAAACATTATTAAATACCGATGGATAAAGGATAAAATAATAGACTTACCTCCACGTGGTGCACCCTGGGCAACGTATACTCATACGGCAAAAAAGTCTACTAATCGGCAGTTGACTTCTGACTTCAAACTACTATGGCCCGACTGCATTTCACATTCGACTAATTTCACAGTGCTCACTTCACCTTTTTTCTACCTTTGTGTCTGTCTCTTTTACGTCTGTAAATCATTATTCTGTCCCCCTCTCGACTTTTTGCCACTTTGATGTTCCTCTTCCTTTCTGTGAAGCCCGAAGTCAACAAAAGGGCTAATGATACCTATCACAACGCCTGCCATTTGAAATAAAAAAAATAAACATAATAGAGTCACCCCATTTGAGAAACCGAAATGCTGCAAGGCAGACTTTTTAGCACACTGAGTTTTTACTGATGGGCATCTAATAATTCGCAAATGCTGACTCCTCATTCAAGCGCGATAACTAAAGAGTGACCTTGAGGAGAGACCAGGTTACTATTTTTTTGCCAACGATTCAATTTTAGCCAACGCATTCTTCATATGGCCAGGCGCTTCCGGAGAGAGAGCTAAATAAAACGCACAGGCGATAAGGAGTGCATTGGCTAAGCCCCTTTATTTAGGTGCATATTTTCAGCTACTTATTTCTGAGCCCGGGTGTGCGATAGACTTTCCTCCACGTGGTGCAACCTGGCCAACATATACCCATAGGGCAAAAAAAGTCTATTAACTGGCAGTTGATTTCTGACTTCAAACTACCATGACCCCACTGTATGTCATATTCGACCCCTTCAACAGTACTCATCTTACCTTTTCTCTGCCTTTGTGTCTGTCTCTTTTACATCTGTGAATCGCTCTTCTTTTTCCCTGTCGAATTTTTCTCACTTTAATGTTCCTCCCTTCTATGAAGCCCGAAGTCAGCTAAAGAGCTAATAATAACTATCAAAATGTCTGCCATTTGAAATAAATAAATAAATGTCTGAGCCCAGTCTTCAACTCTTTTTAGCCCGCATGATAAATTAATTTAGCGCCTAGACTTGGTTTCTGTCAAAACTGAGAGCAAACCATGCTTTATGGATGATCGATTATACGCTGACCGAATGAGTCATACCATTTCTCATCAAAGTTTTTTTAAATTAATACAAAGCTTAAGAACAGAGAAAAGGGTTTAATAGTGGATCAACTACAACAGACACATTCCAAAATGTCTTACCTTCAACTCAACATTTATTAAATTGCAAAGAAAGAAACCTCTAACCTAGCCTTGGTGTTGTGCTCATAAAAGTGTACTTGCTCTAGTATTAAAAAATTGATATGAAGCAAACCACTCGTGCTCTCGATTCAATAAAACGAAAAACCAAGCGACAGATGTCTTGCAAATGGCATTCAATTCGTAAACGGCCGTAACCATTGACTAGACTGATTCCACGACTAAAAACTCACATTATATGTGACAACCAGTCCTTTTGGTTTGGTCAGAGGCATTCTTAAACAGTCTGACATTGTTTCATTCGGTGGACACAGTTCACTAATGACCATTTGACTGAAATCTCTTCTGGCCAGACTAGTCCACCAGATTGTTCGATTGTTGGTGTCAGAGATGAAGACGCCAGCTCGGCCACCACCGATACCACCACGTGAAAGAGCTTCTAGTTCCTCGCTGCTGATCGGATGACGAGCGATGTAGTACGTCGGCCAATCAGCTTCTCCAGATCCACCACTGACGAAGCTCATGGGTCGGACATCTGCAATCAGCCAATCAGATAATGATGGACTTTGAGCTCCATTTCCAGGGATTGATGACGTACGACCATCGTAGGAGCTTGAAAATGATCTTAAATTGATCATATCATGATTAAAACTCGGAGAACACCTGTATTGACAGTAAAAAGAAGGAAAATATACCCCATCGAATCAAAAGCTTGACGATGATTTTCAGTATGGAGGTAACGAACGAAGTGACCATCCACAACAAGCAAACGTCCAGTTTCATCCGTTGAGAGAGCAGCAACACGAAAAATGGGATTTCCACGAGCTCGACCTAGACACATTTCGCAACGATTGGCGGGTCGACGAACATTTGGTTTTCCAAGAACAAGAGACACTACCAAGTTTTCACCTCCAACTGATGCGGATCGCCCATCTCCCCTATTTTTTAAACATTGTATTATTCGACTCAAAATGAAAGAAAATGTAACTTTTGTCGCAGTTCATGTGGAGACAACTCCAGTAAATCAATTTAGATGCGCTCTTCATCAATTATAAGACAAACCAATAACAGAAAAGGATGGTTAATACATGAATAAAGAATTATGGAGAAACCGCTAATTTGTTTGTTAATGAGGGTCTAATTTTGAACACCATCGATTTCAATAGACTTGAAGAGCTACGCACTCACCAATAAGATAGACAGAGCTACCTTGTACCCTTTTGCTATCGGATATCAATAATAGGTTACAATTAAGAATGTAATCAATTTTTCAATTAAAACAGTTTCCTACGTTTATTTTAATGCCTGAACTACAGCTCTATTTTAGCAATTTTACGCAAATGTATATTTATTTTTCATTTCAGTGGAGGACATTTAGATCTGATGCATCTTCCTTTGTCACGCCATAGAGCAGAAAAAAACACGCACACACACAAGTTGGATGCCAAAGCTTGACAGCTGACAAGCCTGACACTAATAGGGACAATGAATGATTCACTAAGTAACACAGAGAAAGGAGTTTTGTATAGAGCATATCAGAGGTGCAAAAAAAGGCTAGTGACTTACATATAGATGATTCCTTGATTAGGCACATAGGTATGCCGTGCGTCCAAATTCCAACGAGGAAGATCGATGGAGGTGACGTCATGACCGTCAATATGGACTACACGATGTTCCCAGAAGACTGTTGGACAGTCACCATATAGAAAACCGACGGATACTACAATGGAGACAGATAATGCAGATTAAAACATTACCCTTAGGAGGAAAGTTTAGGAATGGTCGCAAAATGATTTATCGTTCCCAACAACTCACATGAACTTCCTGGAATGCTCACATACGTTGGCAGATTTAATTAAAGAGTAAATAGCTAGATAAGCAGGTCCGTACCCTATATAGATCTCAAGTTTAAAAAGTAATACCTTCGGTGGATATGTACTAACCGTTGAATCAAAATTCGACACCCAAAAATTTGCCAAAGTAGACGTAAATCCAGGAAAATATCTATATTTTATGCGGATAATCTCTTTCTTTGGTAAAACACTTGCTATACTTTGAAACCCGCCTAATTCAAACTGGTTTGTGAAACTCAGAATTATGGAAGTAAAGACGAGCACAGACTTTTGCTTTTGACAACGAACATCTACAAGTCCCATAGGAGCTTCTTCAAATTCCTCGGTCATAAAGGTTTCACAAACAGAGAGGCGCCAATCGCAACTTTAGTTAAGCAGAAATCGTTGATTCCAGGAGTATTCAAATTTCCAAACTCACTCAGACCCCCCCCCCACCCACCTCGTTTCACAAGTATAATGCATACTATTGAAAGCTCTATACCTGTATAATTTGTATCCATTTGATATGATCTACTAAAATAATAGGCTTACTGATAATACTACTAACTCCTTGATATATACAGTCAAGTGAAAGATGAAAAAAGGCTTTTCATTGTTGATTAAAACAAAATTTGTCTTCTTGCTTAAATAGATGTTTTCCATAATCCCCTACAATCATTGCGCATCAACTTGACATATATCCAATATAACTGCTGGTAGTTATGAGGCAATACACCACGATCAATGTAATGACGACAATAACCAAACATTGTTATAAATAACTTCAATTTTCGCCGTTACAATAGGGACAAAATTAAAGATTGTAAAACCAAAAAAGTTGCACTTTAGCCAAAAAACCGCAATTGAACCTATAGAGTGAACAGAGGGAAAAAAGTCAGAATAAGCAAAGACTTTATGCTATTTTTCAGACTATAGGGTGTGCGATAGACTTACCTCCATGTGGTGCACCCTGGGCAACGTATACTATTAACCGGCAGTTGACTTCTGACTTCAAACTACCATCACCTCACTGTATGTCATATTCGACTACTTACACATTACTCACCTCGCCTTTTTTCTACCTTTGTGTCTGTATCTTCTACATCTTTGAAACACTCTTCTGTCTCCCCCCCCCCACCCCCTCGACATTTTTCACTTTGATGTACCTTCCCCTCTGTGAAACCTGAAGTCAACTAAAGGGCTAATGATAACTATCAAAACGCCTGCCATTTGGTATAACTAAATAAATGTTTCAGACTACTTTAATTTTGAGTTAAAACTGAGAGTAAATTGTATTGATTTGTGGAATATGGCAGCTTCGCAGACGATTTTATGAGTTAAATTTAATTTGACTTGGATTGAACACGCTTTAGAAATTTACAAGTTTGGGAAAAATACTAATTTTGATCGAAAAGATTTAAAAGATAACAAACTCATTTCCACAAAATTATTGTTAGCAGAAACGAAAAATAATACATATATATATGTTATATATTTTGCGACTGCCAAAAATATAAAAACGCAAACTTCAATTTTTTGCCAATTTCGGAATGTGTTTGGGGGGCACAAATTGAGGCAAAAGTGGAATTCAATTTTGTCAAATTAAATTGTTGTCAACGCAACAAAAAATAATTTTAACAACTCTGTACTGTTATATATAAAAAGGTAAATAATAATAGAAATAAATTTTCCTTTCTTTATTTAATCTTCCTTTAGCAAAATGCGTAATTTTAAACAAACTTTATTTCCTTTAATTCACGTTGCTTTGTTGGAAGTGTAAAGTTATAATTTACATTATTTTTCATTTAAATCTTTGGAAAATTGTGATAAACAATTAACATTTTTAAATTTAAACTATCGCCATTTACTGGGAAATATAATAATGAAAGAACCTAAATATGAAATGCACATAATAAGGACTGTAATTGCATAGCGCCAAACTATTACATAAAAAACTCACCTTTGGCAGAAACTCTCCCGTATACGGATCTGTTGTAACCATCAGTCCGATTCCAAATGAAAGTAAATTCAAGTCCCTGGCTGGGTTCAAATCTCCAAGATTGACGTAGACCAGCAACATCAATTGAGAGGTGAACCTCGTTCAAAAATTCTGGTGGAGTTCGATCACTAGAAAGCATCTTTATCACAATGAATGAAGGTGACTTCAAAGTCTTATCGGACCTTTGGACAAGATAAAGGTTTGTCGGCTAAAAATAAAAAGAATTGGGTTAATTGGCTCAGCACTCCAATTGAAAAGAGTAGAAACGGATCAATACCTTCAATCCATATCGGTAGGAGAGAACACCTTCTCTGCTAGCACAAAGAGACTCATCAGAATCGAAGCAAACGGAAAGATCATCGTAGGAACTTCCATCAAAACCTCTGGCGTTAAGTTTAATTATCGGACCTCCAATGCGACTGATATCGTGGACGTCAGGAGGACAGAGATTTGCCGGAGAGTCCGGATTCATGGAGGGTAAAAGTCCAGCAACCCAGAGATCACCATAAATAGGAGAAGTTGGAAGAATTCCACCAACACCAGTGACAGCGCCCTCATATAAATTTTGTGGAACGGGACCTCTGGAAAGTGGAGATGCCGGAATTAAGGGAGAAGTAGACCGATCGATAAGATAGAAGTCTCCAATGTTCACAATATGATTAACAGGAACGTAGACATCTAACTGAGCTGTGAATCGGGAAGTGGGATGACGAATGAATTCCAACTGAACAAGAAATCCACCATCCACTACCAGCTCGAACCTTTGTTCAAAGAAAGAAATGTTACGAGAGAACACTTAGAGTACATAAGTACTGAACATGGAAAAGCTCTTACCGTCCATTTTTGTCCGTCAAAGCCGATCCTATCACTGGATTTAATCGATCGAAAACTCGACATCCCCAAAATGGAGTACTATCCCATTGGCGAACCACTCCCCTAACAACTGAGACTCGACTACAAAAGGGATAAAACAAAGCTTTAAAAAATGTTTCAAAGGACGACCAATAGGTAATAAAAAGCCTACAAAATAATTTGAGACATGAAAAATAAAAAGCAGTAAAGTTAGTTTCAATGAACGCAAAACCTAGTTATTACAGAAATAAGCCTGTTTTCCACAAAGTAGAAGCGCTTAGTTTAAAAACAGACAGTTTTTCATTTTGGCGGAAGACCAGGGCGTCAGTGTTTGCGTAAATAAAACTTGTTAACATAAAAAAAGCGCTACTACCTTTGAAGAAAGCAACGGAGAGTATCACGACAAATATTAAAGTTTATAATTTTATAAGAAGCAAAACATTCTCTTTTTTTGGGAAACGTATAGAAAGACGGAGAAACATCTTAGCGAAATGGAAGTCATGACCAGTTCAAAAGGGGGGTAAAATGGAGGCGTCAGCAGGCAAAATGATTGTCAAAAGAGAACAAAGCACTAATGGAAGAGAAATAACTTAGGGTGAATTTGCTATCCAAGTATAATAGGCTGATATTATAAAAAGTGCTCCAGGCGAGAGAGACATGAAAGCGTTTCACACAATTAGATAGCATTTGAAACGGTTAGATATCGTTTATAATAAGAACAGTTAGGGGGAAGTGGACCTTATCACACGATTAAATTTCTCATCGAACTAAATATTTCCTCAAAATTGGGGTGTGCGATAGACTTACCTCCACGTGGTGCACCCTGGGCAACGTATACCCATACGGCAAAAAAGGCTATTAACCGACAGTTGAATTCTGACTTCAAATTACCATGCCCGACTGTTTGTCACATTCGATCCCTTCCACAGTACTCATCTTACCTTTTTCTCTACCTTTGTGTCTGTCTGTCTCTTTTACATCTGTGAACCGCTCTTCTGTTCCCCACCCCTCGACTTTCTGCTACTTTGATGAACCTTCCCTCTGTGAAGCCCGAAGTCAGCTAAATGTCTAATGATAGCTAACAAAACGCCTGC